CAAAGCACGAGGATTCTTAGAGCGGTAAATAACCATGGGCTTACACTTGAAATCACCTGATGCATTACCACAAAGGAGCAAGGTGAAGCGGTCCTTTGCTGCCTTGAAGCCTGGTGCACTCTTCTCTTGCTGACTGATATAAGTTCGTGTTGGCATTTTTTTCCCAAAAAACACTTGCCTCGTCAGCATTAAACACTTGATGTGGCTCATAGCCAACCTCAGAAATAATTTCCTGCAATTCAGCAGGAAAATTACTTGCTGCTGTATGATCAGCTGAACCACTTTCACCAGAAAATTTAATATTATGTAACTTATTATGCAACTTAAAGGTATGGAACCAGCCTGTGCTAAACACACACTTTTTCAGGCCTTCCTTATCACACACTGCTTTAAACAACTGTAAGGCCTTTTCCCTAATTAAGATAAAATTAAGTGGTGCATCTTTCTTTGTCTTTTGTTCAGTCCACTCAAGCAACAAGTTTTCTGTTTTATTTACTTGTTGGGGCCTACATGTCATTCTTTTCATGAGATGTCATCTTGGATTATTCATTACACAAGCTCATATATTCGCCTCGTTCTTTTTAATTGTACAAACCGACGCTTCATTAAGGCCATAGGCCCTCACTATATCCATCACATGTGATCCACTCTTAAGCTTGTCTAATATCTCAATTTTCTTCGCAATTCCTAGACTTGAATGCTTAAACCTTTTCTTGTCACTTTCAGCAACACTTGTATGCTTACTGGGTGCCATTATTGCTTGGCAGATTTAACAAATGGCAATGAAATTAAGAAAATATGTATGTATATAAACACACCTAGGTTCCCTAGTACGTCCATCCTGCACGCGTATGAACTGAACTGGAGGCTGGGAGCATGGTGGGGGTGGGTGTGGGTGGCGGGGAGGATGGCAGTAGGCCTCCTCCATTGACTCAATGGTATAACTCACCACGGGCAACCGGGCAACCGCGCTCTCAAAATTTTTTCCCCCTCCCGCGAATCATGTTAAATTGATCATATGACGTATTACATAAAAATGTGTCGCAATTCTTCAGTCGTGCTATACTCAAATCGTGCCAAATAAACTCATGCTAAATAACGGTCTGTTGTATATAAAATATGAAATAACTTAAAACACTTGAAATTTTGGAAAGTTTCCAAATGCAATGGAGAGACGCAGTGCTCACAGAGAATGTAAACAAACCGGGTGGTGCGTGCCATATCAGAAAGATGTGGAGCCATATAGAGAGTTTTGGTCATAATTTGAAATTGCCGTATAAGATGAACGCCGTAAGGCAAAACTCCATAAAGCGGGACCCTACTGTAATTATGAAGGTGATTTTTTTGGGTAAAACTGAAATATAGAACTGTAAGAAGTGACTAAAATGCCAGGAGCAATGGGCTTGTAACCGCTTCTCCTGTATACATTACTAAGTTTAACCCTTTGATTGTTTTGGTCGTATATATACGTCTTACGAGCCTTTTGTGTTTGACATATACATGTACAGTGGACCCCCGGTTAACGATATTTTTTCACTCCAGAAGTATGTTCAGGTGCCAGTACTAACCGAATTTGTTCCCATAAGGAATATTGTGAAGTAGATTAGTCCATTTCAGACCCCCAAACATACACGTACAAACGCACTTACATAATTACACTTACATAATTGGTCGCATTCGGAGGTAATCGTTATGCGGGGGTCCACTGTATACTCAAAAATTCTAGTGGCTTCAAATCAAACAGGAGAAAGCTGGTAGGCTCACATGTGAGAGAATGGGTCTGTGTGGTCAGTGTGCACTGTATGAAAAAAATCCTTCAGCACGCAGTGCATAATGAGAAAAAAAAACTTCAACCTTGATTTAAAGCGCCCACTTTGAGGTGTATTTTCGTATAGTATTTATAGTTGTATTCTCGTTTTCTTTTTCTCATTTGATAGAATGGAAAACATGTTACAGAAATAGAGATGAGTTTGATTGGCTTTACTATGAAAAGGACCTTGAAATGGACCTCAAAGTAGGGGAAAAGTTTGATTTTTGGAGATGTTCAAGAGTAAACAGATGACGTCATTGTCCAATGAATGTCCAGCTAGCCATTCTAATATGCAGTCATGAATGGGTTGACATTATTTATACAATTATTACAATATTGCAATAGTCTGCATAACAGTAAATCTTCTATTTTTTGTTTGAATAAAAATTCAAAATAGAAATCAAGAGTAATATAAGAGGGGCCTGGAGATGTGACTGATGAACAAAGAAAATGTTATTTTAGAGCCAGGAATGTCTGCATTGTTCATTCTGGACCCTATTTTGAAGTGGGCATATTTTTTAATTTGCGTGAAATTGGCCAAATTGCCAATTTCTGACCACTTTATTGGGTAGTTGAAATTGGTAATTGGGCAGTTTCTTGTACTCAGTCGATAGAACAAATGGAGTTCTAAAGAAATAACTATGAGTTTGGTCACCTGGAACAACGGAATTAGCCAAAAATAGGGCTCAAAGTGGACGAAATCGCTGATTCATAAATATCACCGAGGTTGCTAACTTTGCAAGACCGTAATTCCGTAAGTTTTCCATCAAATTTTGTACTTTTGGTGTCATTATCATCAGGAAAAGATTCTCTATCATTTTAAAAGATTTTTTTTTTTTTTTCAAATATTCTTCGACACCAGGAGACACTTCAGGATTTGGGGTTGCGACAGTCAAAGGGTTAAAAGAGAAACTTTTGTTTTTCTTTTTGGGCCACCCTGCCTTGGTGGGATGCAGCCGATTTGTTGAAAGAAGAAGAACTAAAATATAAGAACAGTTGAAATTATCTTAATGGGATGAATTTTAAGAGAGTAGTTAAAATTAAGCAGGATAATGCGAGATGTGTGTCATGGTGAAGCAGTCTAAAAGATGAATGGAGAAGATTTGAGGTCAAATTCAGGGCTTCAGACTCTTCAGCACACAACACACTGGAAGCCAATATCAGAAATACTGCTGGAATGAAGATAATGTTTTCAAAAAGCTGGGCAGCTTCCTGCTTAACCCTTAAACTGTCCAAATGTAGAGCTACGTTTATGCACATAGCGCTCCGACCTTGATTTTCCTCGTTTGAAAGCATGTAAAAAAAACGTAGATCTACATTCAGAGTGCTATGCAAGTGAATGTACATCTACATTTGGACAGTTTAGGGGTTAAAGTGCCACATCAGCCAGGATATGATAACTATGTGGGCCTACAGGCCTACATAGCCATCTTGGTTGACAAGGTGGTCAACAGGGAAGCTTGGTTTTAGACCTAGATGTGGGGGTAGAAGACCCCTCAAAACAAGTTATAGGTAAAGTACAGGTTGTGAAATCACTTGAATAGAAGAGGATGGAGAGGAAGGGTTATGTTAATATAGTAGATAACAAAATGTGGATGGTGAACCTTAGAAAATAAAAATTGGAATTCATGATGAATCAGTTGTATGATAAATAAAATTGTAGGGGAACCTATCTTTATTAATAAGGTAAAATAATGACTAATAAAAATTTACTACTCCATAACCTATGTCTAGTTTTAGTTAGTCTGTAAGCACTAATATTAGTCTACCCAAAATGCTCTGGCATTCTAGTGGCTTTCTTTGTGCTTAACAACATTTTATAAAATGTAAATCAAACATTGTAACCTTTGCAAAGAAACAAAAATTTGTATTCACATTTCTATTGATGAATTATTTTTTACAGGCAGTCTGTGATTACTGTACCTATTTGTGGTACAAGAGCAGAGCTAAGGTTGTGATGTCCCAACTACAGCATGTAATCAATCAGTTTCTGGAGATTGTAGCATTTATTGTCTTGTTAGCTTTTCCACTCTTCTACCACTCTGTCAAGAAAAGTTTTTTAATATTATTTTTTTTTTAGCAGCTCCGCTTCTTGGTTTGAAATTTCTTTTTATTTTTCTGCTTTAGATGCTTTGACTACTAGAGGCTTTTTATTAACTTTGATGTCATCAGTCAAGAATACTTTAATCTCTGAAATAGCTCAGCATATTTTTTTTTTTTTTTTAACAAACCGGCTGTATCCCACCAAGGCAGGGTGGCCCAAAAAGAAAAACAAAAGTTTCTCTTTAGTAATTTATATGGGAGAAGGGGTTACTAGCCCCTTGCTCCCGACATTTTAGTCGCCTCTTACAACACGTATGGCTTACGGAGGAAGAATTCTGTTCCACTTTCCCATGGAGATAAGAGGAAATAAACAAGAACTAGAAAGAAAATAGAAGAAAACCGAGAGGGGTGTGTATATATATGCTTGTACATGTATGTGTAGTGTGACCCAAGTGTAAGTAGAAGTAGCAAGACATACCTGAAATCTTGCATGTTTATGAGACAGAAAAAAGGACACCAGCAATCCTACCATCATGTAAAACAATTACAGGCTTTCGTTTTACACTCACTCGGCAGAACAGTAGTACCTCCCTGGGTGGTTGCTGTCTACCAACCTACTACCTAGGCTCAGCATGTATACAATGATAAATATCCCTTGGTGTTTAGGCACCATCTAGGGCAGCATCTCAGACACTACTCCAGTTTCAAGCTGTGGTCTCTTGTTTTACTAGTTTTTAACATAACAGTCCATCAAAGCAAGGTGACCCAAAGAAGAAAACACATTCACCAGAATTTACTCAGTCACTGTCTTTCCAGAAGTGTGCTGACATCACAGATTACTCCTCCAACTACAACATCCCCACTACTCTTTCAGAATGCAGGCATTACCCTTCTCTCCTTCAGGACTCAAGCCTGCCTAACCAGTTTTCCTGAATCCCTTCATTAAAGTTATCCTGCTCACAGTCCAACAGGTTATTCCCCTAAGCTCTAGAGCCAGCCTCTTTGCATACCTCTGCACTTTCTCCAGTTTCTTAACATGCTTTTTTCAGATATGGATTCCATTCTGGTGTGTGTATCTAGATATGGGATTGTATAGGTGTGAGAGATTGTAAGAAGATGGTCTTCATGGTTATTGCTTTCATTGCAGACACAATCTAGTGAAAAAGACGTTCGGAGGAAACTTTGTATTTGAATATGACTTGCCACCGGATGAGAATGGTTCTGTACCTCTTCTCTTAAATATCACCAGTGCTTCTCCAACGCTACTTGCATTTCATCTTGAACCAATTATAGACATTGGAGGAACACTTTCTGTTGAGCTGGCCATCTCTCCATATATGGTAAGTTATTATAACTTTAAAATGTGTTCCCACCTAGTTTGCTTCATGTAAGTAAGTAAGTAAGTAAATTTATTCAGGTATACACAATACAGTTACATAGAATTATCATACATAGCAGCATATGTGTAGAGAACCTAGGATAACCCAAAAAAGTCAGACAGAGTGACTTATTTCCATTGGGGTCCTTTTACCTTATTATTATAATATAAAGGTTATAATATTTTCTTATTATTCTATAATGAAGATAACATCTTATTATCATACTAAAAAGACTATCTACTACACGAGGGTCATTAAGACTATCTACAATACGAGGGTCATTAAGACTATCTACTACCCGAGGGTCATTACGACTATCTACAATACGAGGGTCATTACTAGGGATAAGGTAAAATTTACACGTATTTTAGCTAAAAAATAGAAAATCATTCCCCTCCCTTTCTGTTGCTTCATTCATCAGACACTTTTTGGCAGTCTTCTTGAACTGGTTCAAGCTATGACTGGCCTTGACATTTGTGGGTAGTCTGTATACAGCAGTTATGGAAATATTTTATGGGTAGCAGCAACACTGGAAGCTTGTTAAACATTTTTCTAGTCTGGCAGGATTGATAGGTCTTTTCATTCTCTCTCGCAAATGTGCAGGATGAAAGATAACACTTACAGATTGCTTTTTATATTCACATTATGTTTATCTATACCTTCCTGTATTGCCTATAGTTCTTATTCCTATAATATCTTCTTGGAGGCCTTGTGTGAGTGATCAAATGGGCCATTCCTAGAACCATTAAGACATGCAATAAGCCATTATAGAACACCTGTACACATTAGAAGTGTAATGCATGTTTGCTGTTCCTCACTCTTGTTCATCTCAACTATGATTCATAAATATTTGTCCTCTATTAATTGACATTTTATTTAATTTATTTTTGTCTAGCCAGTTTGACTTCTTTTAAGTGCTAAAAACTGTTGTAATCCTCATTACCTACACAGGAGAAAGTTTAATTAATTATGAGGGGTCATTTGAATTGCTTCTGTTCACTTCTGGCAAGGTGGCCATTGAATTACAAGATGGCTATTGAATCAGTGAGGATGAATATGTTTCCTTCTTTTTTTTTGGGGAGGGCGGGCATCATACTAGTTTGGTGGGAGGCTGCCGGCAGGTTAAAAAACATGTGCTTTTATTTGAAACTTTATATTAGCAACTTCATTTGAGAACACAAAGAGAATGGCATTAACCCTTTCAGGGTCTGTCCCGTAGATCTACGGCTTTACGTTCAGGGTTCAAACCGTAGATCTACGCCATGAGCTCAGCTCACTCTGATAAACTGTGAGTGGTAAATTTGGGCCTAGATATGAGAGAATACATCTACGTGGTATGTGTGCACCACCTAAAACAAATCCTGCAGCACACAGTGTATAATGAGAGAAAAAAAACTGAGACCGTGATTTTCGATTAAAACAGCGATTTTGCAGTGTTTTTTGTATGTCTTTTATAGTTGTATTTGAGATTTCTTGGTCTCATTTGATAGAATGGAAGATATATTACAGAAGTAGAGATGATTTTGATTGGTTTTAGTAGTGGAAATGGCATGAAACTGAGCTCAAAGTAGTGGAAATGTTAAATTTTTGTCGATGTTCAAAAGTAAACAAATGACCTCACACGTCTAATACACGCCAGCTGGTGGGTCTAATATGCATTCACAGATGTGATGCTGATATTTATACAATTATTACAATATTGCATAACAGTAAATGTTCTATTTTTTGGTTTGAATAAAAATTCATTATGTGAATAAAAAATCAAAATGGAATTCATTTGTAAAGCCTGAAAACATAACTAATGAGCAAAGGAAATGTTAGTTTAGTGCCAGGAATGCCTGCATTGTTTATTCTGGACCCTATTTTGAAACTGGAATATTTTGAACTTTGTGTTAAATTGGCCAAATTACCAATTTCCGATCACTTTATTTTGTAGTTGAAACAGTTGACTTGGCAATTTCTTGTGCTCAATCGATAGAATAGAAGTGATACTAGTGAAATAGCTAAGAATTTGGTTGACTGGAATAATGTAATTGGCCTAAAATCGGAGTCCAAGTCGGCAAAATCGCCAATTCGTAAATATCGCTGACACATCAAAATTCGCAGGAGCATAATTTTGTCAGTTTTCCATCAAATTTCGTACTTTTTGTTTTATTACCTTCAGAAAAAGATTCTCTACCATTTCATAAGAAAAAATAACAAATTTTTTTTTTTAAATTCTTGGACACTGGTGCACCCTTTGAAATTTGGCCTCTGGACCCTGAAAGGGTTAAATGAATAATCTGCATTACGTATATGGCAAATATACAAAAGAAACATATTTTTGTTATGTAATTATTGATTTTTATCAAATTAAAACTAAATCAGGTTATTTTGTTTCACATTATGCTAATTCACTTTATAAAGCTTAGCTAACAAGTACATACGCTTTACAGAATGTAAGTAAGCACAATTTTAGCGTGGCAGGCTGTGTGGCTCTTGGATTACGTGAAGAACCAGATGCTAGTGGTCAGTGTTCTCGAGGTCACAGTCTACTGGTGAACACCTCCACTCAGAATGATGCAGTAACAGTACTCTTAATACCATTCCCTGAGCCTGGTTCATGGTACCTCACTCTCACACCAACTTGTTATCTTATTAATGCCAGGTTTGTGTCATTCCATTTGTTCAGCAGTAATCATAGTAAATAAAACATAATTGGTACCATTCCTAAGTTGTTTATTTTATGTTTTTTCTTTCTTTCTGTACTGTTTTAAAAAAAATATCTTAATTCTGAGCCTTCATATTACCAAACATGGTATCCTTTACAATGTCCAAGTCTGCCTGTGGACTGATATAGTGGAGTTAGATATCAAACTAGGAATCAGTCTTGTTTTCATGCAGCCAAAGTATAAGCAGAAGGCAATTACCATGTAGTACAAAGATTCTTCATTCCATTATTTTTCAGCAAATGGTTTATGAACCATTTATATAATTATCTGAAAGTAGTGTGTTAAAATTTACATGTATATTTCTTTTACATTTCCAGTGAAGTAGTGGAGTGTAGTGTGAATGAAGTTACTGTGGTCTTTAGTGTAACCTCAGCATCGTGTCTTCAGGGAAAGTGTGGTAGATATGGCTCTTGTGTCCAGTATATATCTGGTGGCTTTATTTTCTCAACATGTGTTTGTGATGCAGGTGGGTATGTTTTAAAACATATATCATTACAATTGTTCTTCAAAAGTTCAAGCTGAAGTGTTTGTTATACCACTTGCACTAGTGTTCAGACTTTTACTCTTGTCATCTTAAATGCAATTGACATTATCATTACTAAATAATTTAAACTCCACAAGAGAGTCAGTATTCACCTGTGGATTTTCTTTCTTATCGTACAATTGTATACATGATGAAGCTGATGAGTTGGCAAGGATGTATTCCCTCAGAAGAAGTAGGTTATAATTTTAGGCTCCCCACTAGTATCCTGAAGACAATAATATCCAGAGAATTTCAGCTGAACTGAATAAGCCTGAGACAGACCACTATTAACACCAGTCAGTCCATGTCATGTACCATCATGACTGACTTGATATGCTTATGGTCACACTCCATGTGTTGCAAAAGGTAGTAAAATGCCTAGGGTTTTATGATGAAGAACGTAGCATTACCCTCGCCCTTTCAGTGAATTTCCTTCTCCAAGTCACTCCAGGGAGTCCATGACTTCCATTACCTCCTTGTTAACATTGCTCTCTGGGAAAATCATAGTCTGTATTCTGCCCTATAAGTAGCTTTGATGGATGGTTCATTTCTCTCTGCAGTCTGGCATATGTCCTTGAGAAAATTATGCCTGAGCATTAATCCAGCTTTCGTCTCCAATGCCGATTCGTGATTGTTTCATAGCAGTTCCAGCTCTTCATCTCCTTGGTATGCATTTACTTTAGCAGGAATTGTCCCAAAGTAGGGTCTTAAAACTTTTGGAATGTATCAGCTTCCTTGACCTTGATAGCCTGGATTGCACTAAAGCTCATATTGGCACCCAAGTGACAAGTAAGTCCTCTACTACTTGGGGCATCAATAAGGGTTTTTCTGGGGTAAGTTATTTGTATCTCAGTTATGCTCTGCTTCAGGTTTAGGCCTTTTTTTTTTTTAGAAGTTTATCAGGATTATTTTCTCGATCTTGAAAATACCCCTTCTAGGATTTATTGCCATCTTTGGGACTCTTCCCAGGTCGTCATCAAGGCTCCTTCAGTGGTAAAGCCTTGTTAATTCAACTCAAATTGTGCTTCAGACTCTACCTGATGATTCTTTGATGTTACTCTTTTGGATCTTAGGTATGTGTCCCTGAGTCTAGCTGCTCTTGTGGGATATACACTTACAAGCTCTTTAATTCCTGGGGGCTAATTCCTAGAGAATCAACACAGCTCCTTCTCATGTAAGGCCTTCAGTTTGTTGTGTTCATTGCCAGGACCTGGGTGGGTGTTCCTCATGGTTACCCCTAATATTGTGGGAGATTATCCCCCCATTATCATAATTGATCAAATCTGGGGACATGAATGCTGGGTTTTGGGAAGGCTCACAGTTATCCTCAACATTTTGGCATGGTACATCCTCCTAGTAAAAATGCAATGCAGTCTTTGTATTCTGGGGATGGCAAAACATTCCTTTCCTGGAGACACTTCAATTATGGAAAAGTTCCATGAAAGTACAGTACTCTAAATCCCCAAAGCAGGGTAAGACAGTGTGTGTGTGTGTGTAGCAGTGAATGCATCAGCCATCATATATCCCTTATGGCTGTGTAGGCACCAACAAATACTGCTGTGAAGTTCTTCTTATATCATCAAAATATTTTGTTTCAGAGATCATATCTCTATAAATATTGCTTTAATCTGGGTATTGGAAACCCATTGACCACATTGGTTTTTAAGTATGGGTTTTTGTGCGAGGCCATGAACCATCCCATAGGAGGATAATGGTTATATTTTTTAAGTATCTCTCTGTAGCTGCTCTTAGTTTCAATTACATGAGAATGGAGAAGCAGAGAAAACAGCTTCAGGGGTGTCAGTGTATTAGTACCATTTTCATAAATATTCTTTGGCTTGGTTAACTATTCAGTTTGTTTTTTGTCTTTAAATATTGCTCTACCCAAATTAATTTGGCATAGTAGGTTGGTAGACAGCAACCGCCCAGGGAGGTACTACTGTCCTGCCAAGTGAGTGTGAAACAAAAGCCTGTAATTGTTTTACATGATGGTAGGATTGCTGGTGTCTTTTGTCTTTCTCATAAATATGCAAGATTACAGGTACGTCTTGCTACTTCTACTTACATTTAGGTCACACTACACATACATGTACATGTTTATTTATACACACTAATCTGAGTTTTCTTCGATTTTATCTTAATAGTTCTTGGTCTTATTTCTTTTCCTTTTATATCCATGGGGAAGTGGAATAAGAATCTTTCCTCCGTAAGCCATGCGTGTTGTAAAACTCTAACTAAAATGCCGGGAACAATGGGCTAGTAACCCCTTTTCCTGTAATAATAACTAAAAAGAATAAGAAGAAAATTGCAAAGGTTAGTGGATGAGTTTGGGAGTGTGTGTAAAGGTAGAAAGTTGAAAGTGAACATAGAAAAGAGTAAGGTGATGAGGGTATCAAATGATTTAGATAAAGAAAAATTGGATATCAAATTGGGGAGGAGGAGTATGGAAGTGAATGTTTTTAGATACTTGGGAGTTGACGTGTCGGCGGATGGATTTATGAAGGATGAAGTTAATCATAGAATTGATGATGGGAAAAAAGGTGAGTGGTGCGTTGAGGTATATGTGGAAACAAAAAACGTTATCTATGGAGGCAAAGAAGGAAATGTATGAAAGTATAGTAGTACCAACACTCTTATATGGGTGTGAAGCTTGGGTTGTGAATGCAGCATTGAGGAGGCAATTGAAGGTAGTGGAGATGTCCTGTCTAAGGGCAATGTGTGGTGTAAATATTATGCAGAAAATTCAGAGTGTGGAAATTAGGAGAAGGTGTGGAGTTAATAAAAGTATTAGTCAGAGGGCTGAAGAGGGGTTGTTGAGGTGGTTTGGTCATTTAGAGAGAATAGATCAAAGTAGAATGGCATGGAGAGCGTTTAAATCTGTAGGGGAAGGAAGGCGGGGTAGGGGTCGTCCTCGAAAAGGTTGGAAGGAAGGGGTAAGGGAGGTATTGTGGACGAGGGGCTTGGACTTCCAGTAGGTGTGCGTGAGTGTGTTCGATAGGAGTGAATGGAGATGAATGGTATTTGGGACCTGACGATCTGTTGGAGTGTGAGCAGGGTAATATTTAGTGAAGGGATTCAGGGAAACCGGTTATTTTTATATAGCCAGACTTGAGTCCTGGAAATGGGAAGTACAATGCCTGCACTTTAAAGGAGGGGTTCAGGATATTAGCAGTTGGGAGGGATATGTTGTGTATCTTTATACGTATATGCTTCTAAACTGTTGTATTCTGAGCACCTCTGCAAAAGCAGTGATAATGTGTGAGTGTGGTGAAAGTGTTGAATGATGATGAAAGTATTTTCTTTTTGGGGATTTTCTTTCTTTTTTGGGTCACCCTGCCTCGGTGGGAGACGACCAACTTGTTGAAAAAAAAAAAAAACATTTAAAATATGCAATATCTTTGAAATACTTGAAATTTTGAAAAGTTTCCAGACATAATAGAGAGATGTGCTTACGGAGAATGTAAACAAACCAGGTGGGGCATGCTGTATAAGAAAGACGGGTTGCTGTATAGCGAGTTTTTGCCTTAATTTGAAATTGCTGTATTAGTGGAATGCCGTAAGACGAAACGTTGTAAAGTGGGGCCCTACTGTATTCAGTGTTCCATGGCTATGTGACCTGGCACTATGTGGAAGTCTGTGCTAGATTGAGCTTCACACTATACTGGAAGGCATGGACTGGAGAATATGTTATCTTTTTGTGATTATGCAAGGATAATTGCTTGAGCTCTGTGGCAGATGTTGCAGGTGTATGGAATACGTAGTAAGTTATTAAATGCTGTAAAGAGTTTTTATGAGGATAGTGAGGCTCAGGTTAGGGTGTGCAGGAGAGAGGGAGATTACCTCCCAGTAAATGTAGGTCTTAGACAGGGATGTCTATGTCACCATGGTTGTTTAATATATTTATAGATGGGGTTGTACAAGAAGTAAATGCTAGGGTGTTGGGGAGAGGGGTGGGATTAAATTATGGGGAATCAAATACAAAATAGGAGTTGACACAGTTACTTTTTGCTGATGATACTGTGCTTTTGGAGGATTCTAAAGAAAAGTTGCATAAGTTAATTGATGAGTTTGGGAGGGTGTGTAAAGGTAGAAAGTTGAAAGTGAACATAGATAAGAGTAAGGTAATAAGGGTATCAAATGATTTAGATAAAGAAAAATTGGATATCTCATTGGAGGGAGGGAGTATGGAAGAAGTGAATGTTTTCAGATATTTGGGTTTATGAAGGATGAGGTTAACCATAGAATTGAAAGAAAAAAGATGAGTGGTGTGTTGAGGTATCTGTGCAGACAACGTTATCCATGGAAGCAAAGAAAGGAATGTACAAGAGTATAGTGGTACCAACACTCTATATGGGCGTGAGTCATGGGTTGTAAATGCTGCAGCGAGGAGGCAGCTGGAAGCAGTGATGTCCTGTCTAAGGGCAATGTGTGGTGCAGAAAATTTGTAGTGTGGAAATTGGGAGGAGGTGTGGAGTTACTAAAAGTATTAGTCAGAGGGCTGAAAAGGGGCTGTTGAGATGGTTTGGTCATTTAGAGAGAATGGAACAAAGTAGAATGACTTGGAGAGCATGTAAATCAGTAGGGAAGGAAGGCAAGGTAGGGGTCAGCCCCAAAAAAGTTGGAGGGAGGGGGTAAAGGAGGTTTTGTGGGCGAGGGGCTTGGACTTCCCACAAGCATGCATGAGCGTGTTAGATAGGAGTGAATGGAGATGAATGGTTTTTGGGGCCTGATGAGCTGTTGGAGTGTGAGCAGGGTAATATTTTGTGGAGGGATTCAGGGAAACTGGATAGCTGGACTTGAGTCCTGGAAATGGGCAGTACAATGCCTGCACTTTAAAGGAAGGGGTTTAGGATATTGGCAGTTTGGAGGGACATCTGAACTGTTGTATGAAAATGAAAATGTTTATTTCCTGCAAAGCTTACAGTATGTGGTTTACATGTTAT